CCTCGGCACTGCAAGTAAAGGCAGGTTGTCTTGTAGCCTTCCCATGGATCTGGGGAGCATGAGCCAAAGAAACGCCCAGCTGGTGCCTTGTACCTTTGATGAGAGCAAAGTCCGCAGAAGAGAGTGAGAATGTCGAGAGAGACGATCAACCTGCGTGTGGCCCTACAAACTCCTCTGATCGGCACCCTTGTATTTTATTCCGCCTCATTAATGGCCTATTGGCCTCACTCAGTCTGGGGCCTCAAGGCCTGTCGGTCATTTTCGTCCACACCACCATGCAGACCCCCTGCCAGCTGTATTTTCTGAATCAGGCTTATGGCTGAGGGATCCAGATAGCTGCAGCAGCCCCCCGCTGGCTCAATCTTCTTAGCGGGTGATACAAAACTCCTAGCCCTCGGTGTCTGCTTCTTTGCTAGCAAATTTTCCATCTTTTTGCTGCAACGTGCGGGTTCCTGCTGATATATTGGATAGCCGTACTGGCGGACATAATCGTCGCTCACAATTATATCAAAGCGCCTCATCACAACACATTACATCACACCATGGCGAACAAGATCACTGCCTCGCCCAACTTTGAGGGATGGTATATTCATCCAGATGGCACCAGTATGCGACTGACTTGATACTCATCACTTTGATGGTTTGACCTCTTCTGACGCCATCATTGCAGCCGAAGCTCTCACCTGCCCTCAGGGTACCTTTACAACATCAGGCTCATACGCTGCATGCTGCGACAAGACCAAGTGCCCGATGCCCACGGCCTGCCACGACAACAAGATAAGCTACGACAACTTTGCCGTGGGGGCATGTCAAGGCTCCGCCGTCTGCCAGACCATGTCCATCATGGCCGCCCCCGGGGCCAAGAGCGACGTCACGTCGAGCATCTTTTGCGCCCAGTACTGGTACGCCCTCGAAGCGTACCGCGACACCGTCCCCGTCACCACCTCATCCGCGACCAAGACGACCGCCTCGGCCTCGACAGGCAGCACGCCCACCAGCAACTCGGCCAGCAAAACGACGTCGCGGAACACCGCCATCACGCCGAGCCCCACGGGGTCCTCCGGTGCGACGTCGCCGGCCGCTTCAGCCGAGGCGTCCTCCGGAGGCTCCAGCAAGGCGTGGATTGCCGGCGCTGTCGTGGGGCCGGTTGTCGGCCTCGCGCTGGTCGGATTTGCGTTTTGGTTCCTGCGGCGCCGACGAACCGCCAAGAAGAAGGATGTCGGCGCCGGTAACGCGCCTCAGGAGATTGGCGGCTACGAGCGACCGGCGGATTACGGCGACGGCAATTGGCAGAGCAAGCAGTACTATGGCGCCTCGCATCCCAAGGCCGAATCGACCTCTGCGGGCTACTATGCGCCTGTGCAGCAAAATCAGGTCCACGAGCTCCCCAGCGGCGAGCAGAGGTGAGTATGACAAGGGCAGTGAGTCGGTGAGAAATTAGATCTTGGGGAAGTGCCATTTTACAGGCATGCAGCGATGTGGAAAGAAGTCTGCGCAATACAGTACATGGCTTAGACGGTGGGGGAGTTGAGTTTCTCTGGTTCATAAAGCAGACGGGCATTTTCACATGACAAGTAATTTATGCATATAATATTTTGTACATAGTTTTCCATAGCGTATTCTGCGAGGTGAGCAACTTGCCATTCATCACGAGTATTCTCCTTTTCAGCTGCATTTAGGCGCCCAGCCCGGGATTATTTTGGTGTGCCCCGCAATAGCTGAAACGAGTGGCGCGCGAAAAGCATCAGCCATTGAATTCGTGTCACCAGGCGGGTTTAGCGGGCCGGCCCGCACTACACGTGCCCGCAGTGCCAGGGTTAGAAATTAGTAATTTATTAAGTAAAACTAATTAAAATATAATAATAACTTATTTTTAATTTATAATTAGTTTATTTTTTAAGAAATAAGTTAAGTTAACTATTATAAAATAATAATAAGTAATATTTTTAATATAAAGTCTTATTAAAAGTAAAACTTTTAATAATAAAACTATTATTTAGATTAATTAGTCAAAATCTAAACTACCTAATTATAAAAATACCTCTTTTTTAAGTACTTATCTATCCTTTTATTATAAGTTTTAGATTATTAGCTTATACTAAGTTTATGTCACGGGCTAGGTCTTTGACCTACCCTGGCTTCCTTCCGTAGAGGGGTCGCGCCCGGGTATATAGGTGTAATCAGGTGGAAACGCTGGCAGCGTTGACATCACGAATCCTTTTGCCGTAGGTGGGAGGGTTTTGGCTACTGCCAATAATGGCAGAAGGGGCTAATTACCCCCTTACGCCCCTCCGGGGCCAGACCGTCACAGTTTATAATCTTTTATAATTTACTAGATTATAATATACTTATAATTTTTATATAGTTATATAATCTTTTATCTTAATTAGGTAAAGTATAGGCTCTTACTTAGTCTTTAGTTTAGGCTACTTCTCTAGCTATCTTATACTACTTTATTTATAATATTATAAAGTCTAAGTTCTTAATATTTATATTTAATAAGAAAAGTTATTAAAATATATTAGGGCTATTAATACTAGACTTAACACTTATAAAACTTTTCTAAGGGTAGTATAGCTATAACCCTAGAGATATATAGAATTAAATACTAGTAGTTATTATTAAAACTAAGTAATAAAATATATTAGCTATTTTAAACCTAAGTTAAGGAGAGTTAATCGCTAGAGGTGACTTCTTTCTGTGACTTATATGCCTTGAGCTTTCTAACTAAAGTGTCTTAGAGGAGAAGATTATGTTTAAGCCGCTAGAGAGGTTTTCAACTCACCGGAGCCGCGGTGGGTAGTCGATCTCTATACTGCAGGCCCGCCGACCTCCGCTTCGCATTTATAACTCTAGTCGGGGATAGAAAACATCGCCTGATGACAACGAATAAGATTCGAAAAGTATCTATAGAAGACTTCAAATATAATACTTCGATCTAATAATGGTATAAATCCTATCCCGAGCATGCTATGAGATGAGCGGGGGGCACGGGATTGGCTACTAGGTCGCCGGTAAAAATAAAAAGAGACATCTACGAGTAAGCCCCTCCTTAACACTTCTATTAATCCTGCTAAGACCACCGTCGGATCCACCATGATCGGCGCTACGAAATAGATGAGTGGACTCTGAAAGCCACAGTGAGGAAACTCGATACGCCACCATTGTAAGTCGACGGCTTGCCGAGAATACTATAGCGCTTAGTGCAGGGTATTTCGCAACGATTAACTAAGAAGTGATTGAGGAATATGGAACAATCACTTCATCATCCCTGAAACTGCGCCAGCATTTGATTGCGAAAAACTACTAGCTTATCTGAGGCTGACTGGTATTTGCGTTATGATCTACAGCGGACCGTGCTCTAGCGGGAGAGCCGCCGGAGCCTTGTGTGGACCAGACAAGCCGAGATTGCCAGTGTTCCTCTTTAGGATATTTAATTTATGAAGAAGCAATTAGTATAGCGCCGAGAGATTAGACGTATTTATAGTCGTAGACATGGTGTATATATTGGAAAGGCTGCCAAGTCAGCTACAATCGATGGAAAGCCAGAGGAACAGCATTGACACGGTATATCCAGATGCTACTGTCAAGATGGTAGTCGTGCTTCTGCTAAACCTCAGCTAGACACGTAAACGTGTATGTGCCACAGCCTTCAGGCCAACTCACCACTACTGAGGCTTGAGTCATCCTTCAAATATGTGTGTCGCACTACTGATCGGCAATGCGAACGATCCTCCTATAGCTTAGAGGTGATTATGCTTACGTTAGACGTCTGGTATATACCACTAGTCATGCCCGCTAATCAGCAAGCAAAGTCTCAATCAACGACACAAATAAGGCTGTGAGTGATGGTTGTGGATCCCAAGAGTGAAACATAGTCTCGAGATGACGATGCGGACGCCTTTGGGGAGCGGCACGCAGCACTCTGGGGCGGTCAGATGCGAAAATTTATTGTGTTATAATACCGAGTCGCGACACCTAGTGGCAGAGGCGTTATTAGTGGTGTGCATCCCCCATCTGCGTAGGAAAGGCAACTTACTTATGCAGTTGGGTGGCCATGCAGTTGTGCCCTGTCATGACGGGCGTAGCATCACCCGACGCATTCAAAGTCTTTGATCCTCCGTTCATTATTCGCGGACTAGCAGGGGCACTCAAATCTACCAGGAACAATGCACAGTACCGAGTCCACTCGAGCATCGCGCGTGCGGCAGAACCTCTGTAAGAGGGCACCACTGGAGCTTCTTCGCGGAGTACCTTCTGCAGGTGGGCTTCAAGTTGTCGCATTTTATTCTTCAAGCGCTTCAGTAGCCGCAAGTTCAGAGTTAGACGGCATTCCCGTGTCTATATAAGACAGAGGAAAAAGCCGCGTACGCACATCAGCGCACGGATTACATCCGGCTACACAGCCTTTGCACCACACCATCATAGATTCAAAGTCGAGGAATCAGTGCCTTGCTACTGATCAACAACAACATACGTCCGATTGTAGAAGACTTTCATTCACTGCCACATCAGAAATCCGATTTCAGGCTCGGGGAAACCCCAATTCGGAAAACCAAGGCTTAGCTCTAACCCTCTTAGGTGTTTATTGTCATTGAAGATGTCTCAAGAGAGGTATACCAGGTACTCGTAGACAAGTTACCTTGTTAGGTAGAGAAGGCTACCTTGTTAGAAACACAGGCTCTCCGCTGCGCCACGTTGATCATTCGGCAATGTCCCAATGCAGCCGTTTTCCGCCCATCATCTGAAACGACAGACACTTACAACTCTTCGACGTCGGCGCAGTGGGCGTCTCGCCCATGGATTTATGGTCCATAGATAGGGACGGCTCCGAACTCTGATTGTCTATAAAAGGGCTCCCATTCCCTCCAGAAAAACAGCTTTCCCTCTATTTCAAACAAAATCTACACACCTAATACTACAGACTAACCTTTTTTAAACATTTGATTCCTCAAAATGCAATTCTCAGCCGCCATCGTTACTCTTGCCCTCGCCACTGGCGTCTTTGCTGGCGTCGCCGACGTCAACTCCCCTGCTACCATCTATCAGGGCGTAAGTGAGACTCTATTTTTAATCATTATTGACTGAAACTGAGAAAACAAAAACAGACATGCAGTACTATAACTCAAAAGTGCAACTTCAAGCGCAACGGCAAGAACGCCAAAACCACTTGCTCGTCTGGCCACCAGGTGCGTCATCATTTCCTGCATACGCAGCGAGGGTGGTGAAATCAAGGATCTGACTGAGACGATTATAGTGCACCATTAGTGGAAAGCACTGCAGCTACAGTGATCAGAGCAGAATTACCGTCTGCAGCTAAATGTATTTTGAAAATTGAGACGAGAGAGATTGTGACACTATTGAAATTGTATCTGGGACATACGTACGACCTAGCTAGAACCAATCAAACCACCAAGTCTGCACTCTGCCATCAAACTCAAACTAAACCCTAGTAAAGATGAAAGTCTACAGAGCATCAAGTATGTGGTCTCCCAACGGCCCGTATATGGAGGACGAAGATGCCTCGACATAGTCGAGACAGTCCGCACCAGCCGTAGCCACGCTTTCCTCTCCACAATTAGCAAGCTCCTCCAGCCTCGACATCCAAAACTTCCACCGCTCGACGCTGAATCCCGGAACATTGATGGTGCCTGACTGACGAGCGAGCTCGCCCAAACTAGCCGCGCTCTGTGGAAGTGTACCTACGTTTGGGGCCTCGGAGCCGTTGCTGAGGCTGATGGCGCTATTATCCGCGTACCGTAGGAAAGCTGCCAGTGCGTGGATAAGGTGGTTCACGGAGACTTTCTTATCTGATTTCAAAGGTCTGTCGGTTTCTAGTGTCTCGCGGAAGAGGGATAGGAGACATGTTGCTGGACCATTATATATTCCCACGGAGAGAAGGCGTCCAACAAAGGAAGACAAATTGACACGCTGATTATTGTGGTTTGCGTAGTCGAGTTGATAGAAGCGATCTAGCCACTCTTGGACTAAGTCCGTGCCTAGAAAGGGCAGATCAGACCAGAGCCTGCTGCCGTCTGAGAAAACAACATTCCGACGATTGTTGCTGGAAAGAGCCTCTTGACCACCCGAAACAGACGACAATGGCCGAGTCAACGTTTCTCTGGCCCTGGCCTGCAGAATCAGCCGGATAAGCGTATCATGCTTGCGATTCTCCGGCATCCAATGCCTGGCGCCCTGGATGGCGGTGCGCCAAAAGTGGTGCAATTCAGCTTCGACAACGCTCAACGGTTCGTCGGTAGCAATGTAGCGAATTGTAAGAGCGGAGATGTGCGACTCAACGGTGACATCGAGGGTATTGTCATCTCCTAGCTCGGTCTCTTTGTCAATGAGCTCGTCTGTAAGGCTGGCATAGTTGTGGAAGGAGGCAAGGCATTCCTCTTCTGAGACATTGTGAGGGGCAGGTCTGTTTTCCATGTTGTTGACTGTTTGCTGTTGGCTGAGTTGATGAAGAATGAGGATATGAATAGAAGGGAAGGAAGAAGGAAACTTGTGTGCTTTATATATTCCAATACTCGATACCTCTTCACGTCTGTGCGTTTG